TTATCAGTTTTACACGTCAGGTTGAGTTCTTTTTGTTAATATTTTTTAATATTTTGACCCTTCAATTATTCAACTTTAAATAAACGATGTCTTGAAACCAGATCTTGTGTCTGTGGTTACTCCGCATATGGTTTATTTTTGTGCTTTCACTCGCTCTGAAATATTCCAAAAAAACACCAGGGAATTAGGGGTGGGTCACGGGCAATCTCATTCAGGCATCAATGGGTTAAATACCAGCCTGGCGATCTTGAGAAAATGACAGAACGAGTCATCTTTTCTCTTTTTTTTTGTTTCTTTTACATGCACTAAGCTAGCATCTTCCCTGCATCTTCTTGTCCATTTTGTGTTCATCACAGCCATTTTGTTATTGTCAACAAGCCCAAGTTATGTCCAAATAAGGAAATGGATGCGTGAGAGACTGGGATTAAAAGGTTTCCGCATGAAAAGAAACAAAACAAAACAAAACATTGATGTCTTGGTTGATCTTTACTAGTTATTACGGTGATGTTCACCAACTTCGTGGAAGGATCGGCAAGGATAACAATCAATCTTAACTGAGCATTCGCCAGTGAAAATAACATCACTAAAAGTATCACAAAATGCTTGCTTCGGCTTTTTGTCAGTACTTTGCACTGCTTGTGCCCTCCAGCCAAGTTTCTGCCGCATTTGCCAAAAATAATTTTTGTCAATACTTCAATGTTAAATCTCACTAAAAGTATTTGTGTAAATACAAGAACCGAAAGTTCGTCTTTTGCTTGCATTTTTTCATCGAAGGCGTTAATAGTGTTTGGGCAATCACACAGACTACTAGTCACTTTGTATCGTTTCGGAAAAAGACTTACTAACTGGCCTTGAAGTTACAATACCATCTTCCCGTATTTTTCGAGTTCCTGGACTCATATTTTCACCATGAAAATTTAAGTTTACTGTTCGTATTCTTTCATAAGTTGACAGTTTTAACCCATTTCATGAAATGTAAATGAGTGTCTCTAATCTTGTAAACAAGTTCTCGGAAACCTGGCTCTTCTGAACGAGTAGTTCCAAGAACGCTTACCGATGGAATGCTAACAAAACAGGAACAGAGCAGCACAGAACAGATCAAGAACAGATATGGAACAGATACGGAATGGGAACAGGAATGCGTGTGGAACGGACACAACGTGTTGTGTCAAGCTTTCTCTGTTAGGTTTCTTCTGATCAGTACTGTACTTAGAACTCAAACACATCTTTAAAGAGTTTGAAGAGCTAAGGAATAAGCATCAAGAGTACTTATGGCTTAATATCGTCTTTCAGGTTGCAAAAAGGTCTGAATCAAAGGCCTCCTGATTCACTGGCCTGAATACATGTAAAACAAAACTGCACTACCAAACACTACAGACAAGTTTATCATAGAGTTGTTCATCTACAAAATGAAAATATAGTGAGTTCAACCGAATGTATTGCTTATTAAATTAACATTCTCTTCTAGAGGAACTGCTTTGGTGTTATCAACTTTTGTGTTGTCATGTGTGTATGTTGGCAATTAAGAAAGATGAACCTCCATTGACACATACTCTGACGGCATTGCAGGGCTCAAAATAATGGCCGGTCAACGCTGTAATTTCTGGCCAGAATGATGACTTGACCAGCCAAAAACTCACCTGTCATGTTGACACTGTGTTATTCACTCTTGAATAAACAATCAAATCCTTAACTGTAAATCTTTATCTTTTCGTAAAAATACAATTATGACCTCTCAAGCAAAAAACATACACTCATGGGTATCCATTCGAACAGCCAAAAATCGTTTGCTCGCCATTTGTCATGGGCTCAAGATCAACAGGATGCCATTTGAATGGCTGGGGTTATCTGTTCAAAAAAATAATCAAAAGATGGTCTGTTTGTCTTGAAATCATGCCGTCAAAATGTGCTTGTAATCATGGCGCGTTGTGGATCAAATCTACAAACTTCCAACAATGTCTTGAAACCTGATCTTGTGTCTGTGGTTACTGTGCATAATTGCTGCAGAGTGAGCATAGCGAGCAAGCAGCAACATAATCAGGATTTAAGAAGACTATGTTGAACGGGGTACGAATTCTTGAATTCATCACTTTTTACCATAATGCACTGCATTTAACCAGAGTGCACCGTGCCACTTTTTACCAGAGTGCATTGTGCCACAAACAATATGAGGATGTCACGACGGACGTTACACTGCCCAGCCATTGTCCTTTTTTTGCGTGGATTTCAGTGGTTATGTTTTGCTCTGATTTACCTGTAAAACGATGTGAAGGAGATTGTGCTTGACTTTCACAACCCCTGCTTTTCTCCTTAAAGCAGTATGTGAAACATCTGAACGATTAATTGTGACATCTTAATTTTAAACTTAGTATTTCATTTCTTAGCAGTCTCCCTTCCTGGATCAAATTCTTAAATAAAGAGAAATCGTTGTTACTAAAGCTTGCAGAATAATTAAAAGAAACAAAAACTGTAAAACTAATTTCATATATGCTACGATCTAGTCCTTTTCATCCAAACATGAATTTAAGCTAATGCTTTAGCATTTTCACACATCGCGATGGACGCATCCTTGAGAGTCTGTCAACATTCTAGAGACATTTAATGAATACCAGTACAGAATTTGTTAGTTAAATTTCTGCTCCTACAATTTCCACATCTTTTGATTTTCGCGATCTGGTTAAGGGGAGGTTGATGTGTATCATTTCATGTCCAAACATAGTTCAGATCACTATGTGCTTTTTTAGTCACAATCCCTTGTCACACCTCGTCATCGATGCGTCATCATGGATGAAGTTCATGCATGCAAGGACATATTTTAAGTTACACACTACTTTAAGAAATAAAGGTTAATGCAAGTCTTGGAACACGCAGGTAGATGAATCACTGTGTAAAATATGTCACTATCAACAGAATGTGCCGTAGCATTACTATCCTTTAGATACCCTAGTATTAATGGTGAATTTTTGTGCTTAAGAGCACTCTGAAAGATTTCAAAAAACATCAGGGAATTAGGGGTGAGTGGCATGCTATTTTATCCAGGCGTTGATGGGTTAAGTGAAAAACCTTATGGCATATGAAAGGTTTTTTATAGACACCCAATTTCACTAAAAAATAGAGTGTGGCACAAAGCATACACAATGGTCAGGCACTCAAGGAGTTAAAGAGTTGCAAATGGGGATATTCAGTTTTTTTGACAGAAAGAGACTGGAGCCACGAGTGTTATCATGGCAACAGCGCAATGGCTGTCATTTTGTTTCCTTTGTGATGTACAATTCTGGGGCCAAGTTTAAAGAACACCACTCTAATATTTCCAGAAATATTCTTGATTCGGTGCTTTACTGTTTTGGTGGCAATAACTTATGAAATCATCACTGCCCTAATTTACACAATACAAAAACATCAGTGTCTCTAAAATGAAATAAGATATTCTGAAACGGAAAATGCCATTCTTCTTTATTTTGAAAAGCTTTTCAAATAAGCAACACTATTTTTCATTTCACAGGCACTTTAATAGAAGGCAATAACTTTCCTGCATACATCTTAACAATGATAAGCAATGCTTACCTGCACAACAAATGTTCCAGCCATGATAATAAGAAACACAGGGTTATGGGTGATGCCAGCAAAAACATTTCTCTCCCCATGTACTTTACGCGAGTTGATTTCATTGAAGAGCTGCATCATGACAAATGTATTGAACACTATACTTGAATGAACTGTGGGCTTACAGCGTGTCGTTTCTAAGTAACCATCTTCAATGTCAAATAAGTCATCTGCCATGAAGACAAGGATGAAGAGGACTATCAGCTGATAGATGGCATGACCAAGGATATTTCTTATCATGGTTCGTGAGATGAGTGGTTTGGTGCGGCCATATGGTTTCCGTTGTAACAGATCTTCTGTTGGGGGTTCTGTAGCAAGGGCCAGGGACGCAAATGAGTCCATGATGAGGTTTACCCACAGAAGCTGTGTTCCAGTTAGAGGGCTTACCTACAATTTAAAATTAATCACAACAAACTCACCACAAGTGCTTGACAAGCACAGCTTGAGTAATACAGTGTAACTACTTAAACTGGGCCAACAAGGAGAAAACTAACCAATCAAAATGTAAACTGAGAACAATGGACTGGTAGCTTCTTGTGACAATAAGTGACAGTCTGTTTGACAAGAAAACATAAACACTATCGACCCCTCTGCATTATACACATTCTCAGAGATTCAGTCTTTGGTAACACATTATGATAATTACAAATCTCGCTCAAAAAATTTAGCTAGAAAACTCATTTTGCAACAGTTAAACCAAAACTGTTGAAAAGCTTACAAAATTTAGGGTTGAAACTAACGGATCAACAAATGACAAAGTTTCCTGAGAGGTCTGCAACACTTCACACTTCGTTGAGCTTTAAAACTGGTAAGAACTATTGTTTGTATTCTTCAACGTTATTGGTTTATTTGAGAGAAAGAGGGCAAAAAGGTCTGCCTTGTTTATACCAACTGTAAGATGAAAGACAAAATCATGGTGATGGAACAGAAACCTCCCATCATTAAACAACAATGCAATGTTCGTCAGTTTAAGTGTGATCTGTGTGATGAAGATCATGTTGAATGTTTGCATCAACACTTGCACCAGTGTATAGAGGAACATAAAGGATTGGTTTTAGGATGTCACATAATGACCTGTAATTACGAGCTAGATGACATTGTGACGAATTTCAGGATTTAAAAGAAGTGCCAAAACAGTCTGGACTGTCATATTTGTGACCTTCTTTGGGAAAAGGCACACTAACGCTTTTCCGTTTATATGGCAAAACCATTTACAATCCATTTATACCCGTTTAAACAGTTCATGCAAGCATTTAAACGGTTTGCTTATCTGTTTAAAAAAAGTTGAATCCGTTTAACACTTTAACGAAATTGTTTAAACGGTTTGCTTATCCGTTTAAAAAAAATTGCATCTGTTTAACGCTTCAGCAGAAACATTTAAATGGTTTTCTTATCCGTTCAAAAAAATTTGCATCTGTTTAATGCTTTAGCGAAAACGTTTCAACAGCTTGCTTATCCGTTTGACGCTCTAGGAAAAACGTTTAAATGGTTTGCTTATCTGTTTAAAAAGAAAGCCAGCAGCTCTTTAAGTTAACCCTGCGAGCAGAACTATCAAGCTAACGATCGCTCGATACTCCCGGAACATAAACTGCAGGACAACGGTATTTTATTTTAGTTCCAACTTATCCATGTTTATAGAAAGCGAATAATTGTCGTATCCTTGGACAAATGACGAAAAAAAAAGTATCCGTTTGTACAAAAGTATAGCATCGAGAGCTGATGAAGCCATTCATTCCGACCGTGATTCTGCCATCGATCTTGTTCAAAACAGTGCACTTTATCTTAAGATAACGCTGTCTTGGTTCACGCGTCATAGTTTTAAATCATTCGTCATAGACAACTTATTTAGTCAAAAATTTAGGTCATCGCTTGGTGGGATTGTGAAGGGTTACAATCTTTCAGGAGACGTTTATTCTTACCTGTTCTGTAACCAACCAGATCACACAGTCAAACGGCAGGAAGAGGATAAAAATAGTGTGCGCGCTCTTATTTGATTGTGATGTCACTTCCTCGCCTGCCCCGTATTATTATTTTATGATTACCGCTCACTGACAAAAGACTCACTCGATAACAGTCTCTTAGGACGACCTCAATCTGTTCTTGCTAATAATTCTATGGAATGGAGAGCTCAATTTGGAAGGGACCGAAAACTTTGAAAACAGCGACGACCTTTGTGACCTTCTTTGGGAAACAAAAACAAAAGGTGACAACCAGGTAAAAACCTTAACCATTGAATTCAAACTCCAAGCTCAAGCGATTAAAACTTTCGATATTGTATAATTATTATCTATTGCTTCTTCTGTTTCCTTATTAAAGAAAAACAGTCTTTGTTTTGCATCAGAGGCTTTGTTATTTTACCAATCGAGAGTTCAGAAACCGAACACACAAAATTTGTTGCGAGTTCGACTGATCGATTACCGCTTAAGCTGGATTGAAAATCTGTTCAAATTTGCTCTGTTTCCTACCCGGCTTATTTTCGTCAATTGAACAGTTAGCCGTACTTGAGGACAAGAATAGAACTGTTGAAAGAAGGACCACATGGAAAACAATATCCCAAAATAATTTCAGTATACAACTTCATTTATTTCATTAGTAAACGATGGTGTATGTAAAATAACTACATACGTAAGCATCATTTAATTCTCTTACAGCTTGGGTTTGAATTTAATAGAAAGAAAAGTAAATACTACAGCCAATTTGTTACATAGCATAGCACTGGTCAAGTTCAAAACAATGGTTAACTTATGGAACTGGTGCAACTAAATCTTCAGTTCCAGGCTTGCAAAACTGTCTTATTTCGCAATGTAAGTAGTTTCTGTGTTCGTCACTTAATCCTTCTGGGTTGATCTTCTGCGGAAGAACAGAAACAGGTGGGATCACAGCACCATCCTTCAGTAAGGCACACGTTTGTTCCGGGGATGTTAAATATTCTCGGCAGTAACCAACAACTGGTTCATCCTCGGAACATCTGAAGTGGTGAAATTTTTTTGAAATATTGTCCCAGAAAAGTACACCAGTCGTATGCAGGAACTATAACACGGCCATCTTGCGTCGATACCAGTTGGGCTTTGTTCACCCGTGTTGCTTGAGGTGTCCACCATTCGCAAAAAAAAAAAAGTTCATAAATTGACAAAATGAAACTGATCTTGTAGGCCTTTTTCAGGATTCCCAAGCAACGATCCAGACCAAATTTACTATGTCCAGCAATTAGCAAAGAGTACTTGATAGACTGGTGTAGTTCAGTGGCAATCCTCCATGCCAAATACCATAAAAGTTTTTTTTTTTATTTTGTCCGGCACAATTGTAAGCATGTAAGTGAAAATCTGTTTCCCTGAGGCCGTGATGTGTGAAAAAGTGGTGAACGTAACTAATGGTTGCATTGGCTCCTTTACCAACTGCACCAGCTTCATCAATCAAATAGTTCACTTGACGCAATACAGCTTCACACAACTCCAAAAATCCCACACTTTCTTGGGGTCTTAAAATAGATCAGTGCAGGTTGCATTGGGTTACTTGGAAAGTGCACTTGTTTTGCATAGTCAAAGGAGTAGTGCATTGTGCCACTGAATGAACATGGTTCGTGCATTTTGTTTAGATTCGTCTCCACATCTGTTTGACTGAAAGTCGTGGCTGCATCTGAGCAAGTTCTCCTGTAAAACTCTCTCTCGACCTGGGCGCAGTCCAAATGCTCTTGCTGTCCTTTAATACAGTCAGCCTTTTCGTGCTCAGGAAGGTTTGCGGCCCGTACAAGTTGGTGATGTTCTGTTGACATGTCAAGCATAGATCGGTCATGGGTTTTGCCACAACAACTTTCGGAGCAAAACTGATGCCAAAGGTCTACGAACTTGCCGTGATTAACCGCTTGTTCTCCAGAAGCTTTGCAAGTGGCAGTGTAGACGTGCCAAACACTCGTTTTTGTCTCACTCAAAGAGAGCACCTGAACATCTTCCCACTTGAATCCTGGCATTCTCCCAGGTAGCACAAATGCATTCTCCTCAATGTAATTGGTAAGGAAATGATGAACGTTCTCTGTGATTGACTGTGGAAGGGTGTTACTGGGAAGTGTTTTGGTGTNCAGTCCAAATGCTCTTGCTGTCCTTTAATACAGTCAGCCTTTTCGTGCTCAGGAAGGTTTGCAGCCCGTACAAGTTGGTGATGTTCTGTTGACATGTCAAGCATAGATCGGTCATGAGTTTTGCCACAACAACTTTCGGAGCAAAACTGATGCCAAAGGTCTACGAACTTGCCATGACTAACCGCTTGTTCTCCAGAAGCTTTGCAAGTGGCAGTGTAGATGTGCCAAACACTCGTTTTTGTCTCACTCGAAGAGAGCACCTGAACATTTTCCCACTTGAATCCTGGTATTCTCCCAGGTAGCACAAATGCATTCTCCTCAATGTAATTGGTAAGGAAATGATGAACATTCTCTGTGATTGACTGTGGAAGGGTGTTACTGGGAAGTGTTTTGGTGTTGCCGTGAGTTTGCAGATGGATACCGTACCTCTCGTAATGCCCCTTGAGACGACAAAGTCGGTTATAACCGATACCATAAAGGTGAATGAACATCTCTTTGCAGATGGAGACAGACTGAAACTGATAGGTACACCTGGAACTTCTGCTTCTT